TTTTTTTTTTTTTTTTGCTTTTTTCACTTCTCCAGCCACGAGCTTGAGAGCTGTGCTTAGGCGTTGGCGTCGTTCTTGGAAGGGACCCTATCGTCCCATAGAGATTCTTGTTGTTGAGGCGGATGGGAGCTTTGTTCTCGGTTGGAGGGGTTTTTTTGAGCTGATCAGCAGGAGCTCTCCCCGCTGGCTTCGCCCGGCTAACCGCTCCTGGTCGCTCTCCGCCAGCCCCTTCAATTTCCGCTTGCGCTCTCAGGTTTGAAGCGAGACTTGTACCCCCCTTCTCCCCGCAGAGTAACGTACCTGAAACGTCACATGTCACGAACTTGTTGCTTTTTCCAAGCTGCTGGCTCATTCGTAAGGCATTCTCAACGCTGGAACATGCTCGTGGTATTGGGATAGTTTACGACGCAAATGGCACACCACCAACTATTGAACGTGACCTTCACTCATCGCTCTCCTCGGCCCCGCTCGCCGTGACCTTCTTTTCTGTTCTCGTTTTTATTAGGTTCTAGTGGTGGTGGGAGAGACCGGTTCGGGGAAAACAACTCAGCTCCCGCAGTACCTTCACGAGGTATGCTTAGTTCACGTCTGGTCGGTTTTTGTACGCGTCGACAGCGTGGTCGGCTGGCCAATCAAAATAATGCGGGCTTCGGCTTCGGTGTTTTAATTCAGGGAGGAAGACAAAGGCGTCGTGCACGTGAGATGGCTGGTGTCTATATTGATGAGATTCACATTTGCGTGAACCTATGATTTTGCTCTTTTTGTTCTGTCCGGTGGCGAAACGCTTTATTTTTCCGCTAGATATTACCGCTGTGGCAGTGACAGCACTTGTGCGAATGAGAGAGTGAGAGATTCTGTTTCCTTTGGCGGCGATGGAGGGCCAATTTTCATTTTGAAAATTTTTCCGTGGGCTTCGAATTTTGAGGTTAAGGTTTAGCGTTGGGGGTACAATCAGCCAATAATCAAGATTGGTGCTAAATAGTGTACTTTCTGACGCTTCGAGTGTCAAGCTTTAGTGTTCGCTTATCCGATGTTCGTGTTCGCTTTACAGAGGTTGACAGGCGAGCCCGCTCGATGGCCGGTGGAATGAACGGTATCTCTCGTGCACCGCTGTGTGGCAAACAGAAGTGCGCACAGCCTCTTAGTTTTTGTTTGTTCAATCTGCCGTTGTAGGATGTCACTTTGTTGATTCGTCTGCGTGCCTTCTGTATACGTTTCGTCCTCCCCCTGTTTTCCTGGACTCTTTCGATTATCTTTCCAATATCCCAACTTCCAAGGTTTCCAAGGTTGTCATGTCGATATTGTTCATGTTCGTGGGTGTGTTTTTTTGTTGTTGCAGGTGGGGTACACGAAGGTGGGCAAGGTAGGTTGCACGCAGCCGAGAAGGGTGGCGGCGATGTCGGTGGCGGCTCGCGTTTCTCAGGAGATGGACAAGAAGCTCGGGCAGGAGGTCGGCTACAGCATCCGGTTCGAGGACTGCACGAGCGACGCAACCGTCGTCAAGGTCAGGCCCGTGACCCCCTGGTGTTGTGGTTGTTGCTGTTGTTGTTGTTGGTGTTGATATTGGTGTTGACAACTTTTAGTTGCGGCGCGTGCTGCGTGCTTTACCAGTCTTTTTTTGCTCGTTTGCAAAAGTCCCTCGTTGGTTTGGTTGCCGTTCGAGCTAGTGTTTCAATGTGTTGTTACTTCGACGCAGAGCCCTGGAGGCTTCTATCTCGACAAGACGTGGACGGCATGTGTCCGGTCTCGGTTGGAGGTGAATTACATGACGGATGGCCTTCTTCCTCCATATTTTGGGCACCTTGCTTGACGTTGTACACGCACACCTGTTGATTGTGGTGCCAGACACCGAATGCGTACTTTGCGGCGGCGTTAGAACCTTTCTCGCGCGTTTCATCGTTAGGCAAGCACCGCAGAAGGAATTCGGAGAAACAATGTCGTGGATGGCCTTCCTCTTGTGTGACTCCGGCTGGTGCGTCCAGAATGAATTAAAGAGGTGAAACGGCCGACATCCAAGACAAGCGGGAGGACGAAAAACTCAAAACTTGCCCGCTTTTTCGTCTTGGACAGTACATGACAGACGGCATGCTCCTGCGTGAGCTGCTGACGGAGCCAGACCTCGGGGGCTACAGCGTCATGATGATCGACGAGGCCCACGAGAGGACTCTTCACACGGACGTTTTGTTCGGCCTGGTGAAGGACATCTCCAGATTCAGACCGGACTTTAAGGCGAGCTCTTTTGGTGATTTTTTGCGTTTCGGGTGGGTGCTCTACTCCTCCTGTTTTTCGTGTTTTTGGTAACATGTCCTCTTGTGTAAACGGTTTGTCTGTCTTGGTTATTGCCCCACGCGAACTCGTTTGTCGTTCCTATTTCGTGACAGTTGTTTCTTTTGTTGCTTGGTTGTTCGGGCTGCTTCAAACGCATCTCCGGATTCAGAGTGTCCTCCGAGCTCGTGTGGTGACAACGCTTGTTTTTGTTATGTTGTTGGTGTGAACAACGTTCCATTTCTTCATTTTTCCGGGATTTTGGTCTTATTTGCGCTTCATAATGTTTGTTCTGTCTTATCTGCCTGTCTTGTCTGCAGCCCCATGCGTTTTTGTAAGCGTGCTCATCTGCTGTTCTTGTTTCGTCGCTCTAGTTCTTCAGGGCCGTTCCTCTTGATGCCTTGTTTCCATATTTACCTGCGGGGTGCCTTAGTGAGCCCGCTTCGCATGCATGTCATGATATCTATCCACAGCGGATTTTGTGTTCGAAGTGCGAGTGCATTTTGATTCTGTCGACTTTTTTTTTTCGGCCATCATGTTTCTCATGTAGTTCACGACCCTCCCGATCAATTCTTGGTCTTTCTCTCGCCTCAAAGTCACACCTACAATGGTCGGCACCTTCATTTTGGCTCCCGTTCCTCTCTCTCGTGCCACTCAGCCCTGCTCCCTTCCTATCTATCTGTTTTCTACTTCTACCTATCTATCTATCTATTTGTCTATCTATCGTCTCTTGTTGCAGAGTGCGCCCGTTTCTCACCACATGCATACCACGTAGAAGTTGATTTTCTCTCCTTTCTTCTCTCCCGTGCCCCTCGTCCTTCTTCTTCCTTCCTTCCTGTCCACCTTATCGACCGCCTCACTTCATTTTATCTCCCTTTCTTCTCTCGCGTGCCTCTCTGTCTACCTATCGTCTCGTTGTCGGTGCGCGAGGCAGCTCATCATCTCGTCCGCCACTTTGGACGCCGAGAAGTTCTCCAAGTTCTTCGACGACGCCGTCATCTTCATCTTCCCGGGACACATGTACCCCGTGGACATCCTGTACACAAAAGCGCCGGAGGCGGACTACCTTGACGCCGCCGTAGTAACGGTACTGCAGGTGCGCGCGTTTGTGCGTGCCGATGTAGTCATGCAAGGTGCTACGGGGGGTGCACTTTAAGCGTGGAGATGTTGACATTTGTGGGAGAAAACGTCTACTGCAGCGCTGAGAAAACGTGGTATATAGGGAACGGAAACGCTTGGCGGCCTTTGCCATCGTCCAGCGATACTATTATTTTTCGTATTCGACGTTCTGAGTGACTTGTTCTCAGCGCCCCTCTGTCTTTCTACGTCTGTCTGTCTCTGTCTCTGTCTCTGTCTGTCTTCGTGTCTGTCTATCTCTCTCTCTCTCTCTCCTCTCTCTCTCTCGCCCTCCCTCCCTCTCTCTCATTCATTGACTGTTCCCGAAATTCGTGTCCTCCGGTTACCTACACGACGTTCAAATGGCTGTTCCCCTCCCCTCCCTTCCCCTCCCGGCCACCTTTTTTTTTTTTTTCTTCAGGCACACATCTCCCAGCCTGTCCCAGGGGACATCCTTGTCTTCCTCACCGGCCAGGAGGAGATCGAGACGTGCGCCGAAATCCTCACGCAGCNCCCTTCCCCCCCCGGCCCCCTTTTTTTTTTTTTTCTTCAGGCACACATCTCCCAGCCTGTCCCAGGGGACATCCTTGTCTTCCTCACCGGCCAGGAGGAGATCGAGACGTGCGCCGAAATCCTCACGCAGCGCACCCGCGGGCTAGGCTCCCGCATCAGGGAGCTGCTCGTGTGCCCCATCTACGCCTCGCTCCCCTCGGACCAGCAGGCCAAGATCTTCGAGCCGACCCCGCCGGGGTCCCGCAAGGTAAGGGTTGGGTGTGGTTGGTTGTAGCTTTCGTTTTTCGTGCGGTAGGATGTTGGAGCATGATACCGAGCGGAGACCGGAAAAGTTTTTTTCTGTGAGGACAAGATAACAACCAGGGGGCTCCGTTGCGTGGGTTTGTTTTGTTGTTGGTGTTGTTCGTGGGGAGCAGTGGTGGTGTTTGAATTGTTTTCTTTTTTGCCGCGCTCAATAAGAAGGCGAGTGGAAAAAAGGATTCCCGCCCCTCCGGTGTTTGCCATCGGGGTTGGGTTTTCGTCGCTTGGCAACGACGTTGTAAAACAAGCCGCCCCCCCCGGTGTTTGCCATCGGGATTGGGTTTTCGTCGCTTGGCAACGACGTTGTAAAACAAGCCAATTCACTTCGTGAACTCGGCAACCAGGTTACCGGTTTTTTTTTT